GGTCAGCCGTGTTACTGTACTTGTACAACGCGTCCTCGACTTTGCTGGTCATTGCTTGGAGGGCCGCCGTTGTTCTGCGAAGTCTTCTTCGGATCTCCTTGGTTTGGTCGTCGTTGTGGATGGAGAGCTGGAAGTCGGCTTGGCAGAGGTCGCTGTTGTCGGCCAGTAGCTCTTTGAGGCGATTGCTTGCCCGAGTGAGAAGTCCTTGGCTGGTTGATAGAGCCGATGTCATGCTAGATGCTGTGTCAGAACAGGAAAAAGGCTATGAAACAATTGACGAAGACGAAGACGTGGCTTGCGAGACAGGACGAATACGTGACGTACGAGACGGGACGAAGACGTGCAAGTGAAGGCTTCTTGAGACTTACGTCTTTGAGCTGAGCTGATGCGATGCTGGTCCTTTATTCGAACGGCCGATGCACCATATGGTAGTTTGCTCGTGCTGTATGTCTGCCACGCGGGTCTTGTTACTTCTGCTCGAGAAACCAATCGAATCGAACCAATCGTTTACCTCAAACTTGGGTAATTAAACAAGTCAAGACTATACTAAGTGTATGTATGAATAAGACAGGATGAGTGGGCTGCCGCCCAAGACCGAACAAGAAAAGATGAATGCTCTACAGTGAGCACTGTCCTGTATTTATACGCTTGGAGGGGGCGGAGCGAGCTGCCTGTAGATGAAGCTGCTGATAGCCGTTGTTGACCTTTTGGAGCAGCTCGATCAGCCACCAGATAACGAAAGTGAAAGTTACAATGATTAGTCATCACTGAGGAGAGGAAATAAAGCCACATAGATAATTGCACATACAGTTCAAATGGAACGAAGAGTAGAAGGATAGAGGATAGATAGATAGAGAATATCCTCTATACTCCCCCCCCCGGGCCAAGGAAGAAATATACATCGAGAGATTTTTCAACGAGATCACTGCGAGTCAATGTCGCTCTTCTTCAGTGTCGACTGTGCTCACGACGGTGTGTCTGTTTCGGAGTATGGTAATCGTTCCTTGAGTCGCGTCCACGTCTCACGTCCTCGTCGTGATCATCTCGATGTCTTTTTCCTTTTCCTGGATGGACTGTCGCGGGCTCGTCTGGTGTCGTCGTGATGATTGTCTCGCTGTCTTTTTCGCGGCTATCGGACGGTCTTCTCGTCCTCGACGCATCGTGTCGTAATGGTGGTCATCTCGTGTGCGTCTTGCGTCCTCCCTATGTTCCTCTCGAGGTGTTTTCTGGTCATCAGGGCGGTTCTCTGGTGCACGTCTTGAGTCCTCCCTACGCTCGTCTCGAGGTAGCCTCTGGTTATCTGGGCGGCTCCCTGGTGCATGTCTTGAGTCCTCCCTGCGTTCTTCTCGAGGCGGCCTCTGGTCTTCAGATCGATCCTCTCGTTTGCGCTCATTGGAGCGATCATCGTGAGTTTGTCTGGAATCATCCGGGCGTCTGGACTCGTTGAGACGATCTTCCCGAATTTGCCTAGCGTCGTCCGGACGATCGTCTTGGGCCAAAGGGCAGGGTTCCGTCCTGGCATCTGCAGAGGGAAGTCGACGTTCCAATGCGTCGAAACGGCCGTGTAATTGGTTGAGGTCGAATGTGAGCTTCTGGATGTCCGGTAGAGGGATTCCTGCTCGTAGTTCCTTGATTTCTTCTCGACCTCGTCAAAGCGGATTCCCTGAACGATTCTGTCCGGAACTAAGGGCTTCTGTGGTGGCCGCTTTTTGCACTTTTTCATCGATCAGTACCATTCTATCGGAAATGAGCTTCAAGATTGGTGCAACTTGTCCGATTTCTGATAGAATTTCCGTCAGCTGTGCGGTCGTTCGCTCTTGGTGTGTCTTCATTTGCTCTTCTAACGCATCCAAGCGTTGTAGAGCGTCTGAGGAGGGAACCGTGGCTGGAGCGAACTGATCCGCTTTGCTTGCAGCGAGCATGAGCATCTTGCTTCCTTGCTTCAAAAGATCTTTTAACAAAGTTCCTGAGGCGTGAGATTTCGCCATCTTCTTGACATCGAAACTGTCATCTGACGTGAGTTCACCAGAGCCTTTTCTCGAGCTCCCTGCGGCAAGTGGCATCTCCCTCCGAGTCGTCTTCGGTTTGTTGTTTGATGTGGCAGGAGAGGAGGTAGAAGACGGTGTTGTGGATTGTTTGGCTGCTGCTGTGGTCTTATCCATGGCTAAAAGACTGCTATTACTATAGTATTTACACCGGTATATACACAGGATATTGCATGCAACACTGATCATGCAACAGTTCATTCAAAGCTGCTTTTTGGGAAACTGGTTGCGCCAGTGTCTACGGAAGACCGCTTGTCCAGATTTTCTTCATTGTCCATCTGGCGATGTTAACCGACATGCGAAGCATACTGAAAAAAATCTGCCCAGTTCCCGACAGGAGCTTCACACCGCATGTCCACAAGAATATGTAACCGATCAGGAGTGCTAGAATGAATCCCACGGCTACGAGGATGATCGTCTTGTACCATGACATCATTACATCGGCAATGTGAAGGAAATCTGGAAAAATCATCTCATCGTAGACGTTGCTTTCACCGTTGATCACTCTCAATGCGGATTCGTGAATGGTCCGTGTCCATTGTAGAATTCCTGTGATCTCAAATGTGGTGTTGGTGTCTCCGCATGAGACGTCGCAGGTCAGTCTTACTCGAGCGGTGTGAAAACGCAGGAGAAGCGTTGACTTTGTTCCGTCAGGTTAAACGGCATGGTGAGATATTGGCTGCCGCATTTGATCGACGCCATTGTGGTTTCCCCGTCAGTATGGCACGATACATTTGCCTGCGCAGCTTGTGGACAATTATAACACCCTTGCAGCACTGAATTGCTCACTCTGCAAATGGAGTCCGTTTTCTTCGTGGTTATCTTGTCGAAATTCCCCTTGATATGTACGAGAAGTTCGGCTGTAATGAAGGATGGAAGTGTTGCTGACACTGTGGTAGGATCCATCTCATCCTGGCGAAACGTGATCCATGTTCGACGAGCGGGTAGACGATTCTCGACTTCCTTTGTGAATGCGTCGGTCACATTGAGGTCAGTGCATGCGCAACTGATTTTGCTTTCTGCCGGTTCGCAATCGCAATAGGAGTTGACCGAGCAGTTGAGGGAAAGTGCTGCTTCCTTCGAGTCACAGACGAGATTCGGAGTTCTGCCGTGTCTCCAGATTGCGAGGTGTGATCCGTCGCTTATGAAGGTGGAGTCCAGGTCTGGTGTTGGGGGCATTGTTACTGCGCCTAAGGTGATGCTCATTTCCTCCATTTTGAATGGGATAGTTGGCAGCAGGGCTACTTCGTAGCTTCAAATTCGTTGTTTGGAAATGATAGCAACCTCCATGTGGAAACGCTTGTTCCATTGTTGACATTTGAAGATTTCATAGATCTTCGTGTCGGTTGGCACATTGAAGATGCGGTAGAAAAGGCAGCCACTGCTGAGGTAAAAACACCCACAGCCTGGTCCTCCACAGCTTTCTACACACCGAGTGATTCCCGGGTAGTTGTTACCTTCTTGCAGCTCGGGAATCATTGCCGAAGTGTTGACTGTTGCACATTTCTCATTGACGCAAGACCCGGAATGTGCACAGCGTTTCGAGTCGACAACCTTTTGTACGGTGTTACGGGTGAACAAGATGTCATCCTTCACGCAAGTCAGGTGGAGCTTCTTCCACTGAATTCGTATCTCTTTGACGAGCGTCTCATTGTGTAGGAGACGAATGCAGGCGTCTTGGTGGAAGCTGTTGAGTTTGAAAATAGCTGTGGTTTCGAAGGTGCACTCTTTCCTTCCTGATGATGAGAAGAGACAGACTGTCGTTTGTTGTGGATAAACGTCCACGTTTTGGCAGCCGTGTACATATGCAAAGGACACAGAGAATATCCCTACTATTGCGACCAACGGCGCGCGCAGTAGTGCTTCAACATCTTCTTGCCGTCGTTGTCGTGTGTGTCGTACTTTCCATATTCTTCTCACTAGTCGGCAAGTGCACCTAAGACAACGTAGCAGTATTGTGGCTAAGATTCGGCATGGTTTTCCAATTGCGACCGGGACGTAGCATAGCAGATATATCACAGCAACGGTGATGTAGAGGATAATTGCACTGACGACAATTGCTGTATGAGGCGAACATTCGGGGTTAAAGACGTTCGCTGTGCAGAACCAGCAGTGAACGTTGTCGCAGAATGAGACAGGTGGACAAACTGTGTCTAGCATGGTGAAAAATTTCCCGTCGGAGAGTTTCCATTGAACGTGATATTGGTGTAATGTTACTTCCGGTGGAAATAGCACTGTTTCGTTCGCTTGAGGATTCTCCTTCACTTGACAATGGTTCTCCGCACATAATTCGTAACGGCGTACGTTGAGGGACTTGAGATGTATTCCTCCTGGGACGCAAGTTAAGTGTCCCTGAATTGGTGAATGTGTAGTCGTCGTCTGTGCTGCCGCTAAGTTCTCTGTGAGGAGAAGAATTGTTATTAGGAGAGAAAGAAGGCTTGTCGCCATCGTAGTAGTCATTTGAAGAAGGGGTGATCGAGAGGTGAAACGTCTGGGACGTGGTCTCAGATTGTATCGCGCCTGTGGTCCATTATGGTTCTCCTCTTCGTCGATATTGTTCCTCTCGTTTTCCCGATGATCTGGTACTTCGTTTGTTGTGTTTTCTTCCTGGCAGCTATCTTCCAGTTCTAGAGGGATGAGCAAATTCACTGGTCGACGTATTGTCCTTCCCGTAGGTAATCGTAACTCCGCTTCTCGTACAACTCCATTGCCAGAAGTATGGAGCTTCGTTATTCTACCCATTTTCCACGTGTTCCGCGGCATAACTGCTTCAGAGATGAGGACTACTGTTCCTACTGAAGGAATCTTATTTGTAGTGCGTCGATCATCGATTTGCAGTTTGTGAGTTTCCCTCAGACTCGTCAAGTATTCTTGGCTCCAGATTTTCCAGAATCGTTCTGTCAACTGATGGCTCTGTTTTAGCGCTTGTTCTGCTTGCTGTCGAGTTCGCAGTTGTGCGGCTTCTTCTGGTGGTAGGTACGTCGAGTCTTCGTGGTCTGAGTTAACAGATTCGAACGGGTAGGTGAGAACCATGTCGCGTTGGATGAAATCTATTGGACGGAGTGCTGGTGTATCTTCCCACTTCTCTTCTTGGTAGGTCAGGGGCCGACTGTTGAGGCTTCCTTCTATTTCTACGAGAAGAGTGTGCATTGTGTCTTGTGTCGGGATTGTCCGCTGCATGACTTTGTAAAGGCTGTGTTTGATCGACTTAATGAGCCGTTCATAGAGAGCTCCCTGCCACGGAGCATACGGCGTTATTGTCTTCCACACAATTCCTTTCGCGGCCATTGTTTGCGCAAGCGAAACGTCATTGATCACAGGAAGCACCGCATCGCGAAGAATCTGTTCCGCGAGTAGGAAGTTAGGTCCATTGTCGGAGGTGACGCTTGCTGGTACCCCTCGTCGAGCAAAGAATCTCCTCAGTGCATTCAGCAGTTGGTTCGTTGTCATGTCCGGCACCATTTCAAGATGGATCAGCCGTGTGGTTGCACATGTTAGGATGACTCCGTAGATTTTTACGACTTCCTCGTCCCGTTTAGCAGCAAGTGGTCCGAAGTAGTCGATTCCGATGTGTTCGAATGGTCGCGAGCGTCGAACACGTTGTTCAGGCAGGTCGTCCATGTCTGGATATCTGTAGGGTAGGTTGTTCATTTTTTGACATGGAACGCATTGTTTGACGATGGTACGAGTCATCTGCCGGAGTTTGGGTATCCAAAATCGTTCCCTTACTTTTGCCATCGTGTGATTTATTCCACAGTGCAGCGGAAGGTGTGCTTCCTCGATGACCATTCGGGCGAAGTCTGTTTTGGTGGCGAGTAGAATTGGATGACGGGTATCCATCGGTAGGTCGGAATTTCCCATCCGTCCTTGACATCGAAGAATTCCTCGATCATCTTCTTTGAGCTTCAGCTGTTTCAGACTCAGTCGTGAAGGTGGAGGAAAGTGGACTTTCTGATGATTGCGTACCACTACGCTCATAGCTCCCTCTCTTTCTTCTGCCGTTATGTAAGGTGACGTTTCTGCCGCCTTTATTTCGGGGATGCTCTTGGTCACTCTTTCCCGAAGTTCTGGTTTTGTCTTTGAAAGTGTCGCCTTGATAAAACGCAGAGCTAGCGCCACGACGTTGAGCGTGCGCGAGAGGTTGCTATGGCGCTGCCAGTGAATCAGCTCGGCGGGTTCTTCTTTTGAGGTTGCTGTCATCACGAAGGTCTCTTCCTCATCGGGGTATTCTGGAAGTGTGAAAAGTCTGCACTCCTTGGGCCATTCTTCTTTCTTTCTAGTCAGAAAGTCTGGTCCTGTCCACCACAGGTGCGATCTTAACTCCTTTCCTGCCAGTCCTCTTGTTGCGCAGTCAGCGGCATTTTCTGAGGTTTTGACATATCCGAACTGTAGTGGGGGAGTCAGCGTGTCTGCTAATCTTCGAATCTCCTGAATTCGATTCTTTACCAGGACCCCCGCTGAGATGTGGACGGGCAAGGTTGCGGCCCAACTGAGAGCAATTTCTGAATCAGACAGGATGGTGACATCCTGGACGATGCAACGTTCCTTAATGGCATTGTAGATGGAATGTGCTAGTCTTACTGCCATTGTGAGCGCGTTGACTTCCAATTTGGGGATTGTCGGGCTCTCTTTGATTGAAGGCAGTTTTGATTTACCGGCGACGAGACTGGATCCAGAAGCTGTCACGACGTACGCACATGCTGCCATTGCTGTTGTGCTAGCGTCTGAGAATACCACTAACTGGATTGAGTCGCCTATCTGTGCAATTTTCCTAGCTATTTGACCTTGGAACCCATCCGATTCATGCTTGATGTTAGTCCACTGAGCTTGGTGCTCTTCCGACAAGACTGTATCCCAATCGTACTCGGTTTTCCAGAGTTGTTGGAGAAATCTTTTCCCTTGTAGTGTTATGGGTGTCAACCATCCCAATGGGTCGTACACCGCTGCTACTTGTTCTGATATGGTTCTCTTGGTGATCTTGTTCTTTGCCGGATACTTGCAAGCTAGCAGAAGTGTGTCGTTCTTCGAGTTCCATGGTATTCCTAGGGTTTTCTGGGTGAGTGTCTCACTGCGATCTTTGTCAGCTATTCGTTGTCGCATTTGGGCGTCGTTCGATA